GGCTTCTTGCAAAGTCAGGACATCTCACTAATCATGCTGGTTGCTTAAGTAAGAGCTTCATGGTTTGGCTTCAAAGTGACCAACCCTTTCCTATGGCAACACAGGGAGTTGATTTAAGGAGTGACATCTGAACTCTACCTCTCAGAATTGATGGGACTTCTGTGTCTTTTTCTCTGAAAAGAAACTCATCAAGTATGTGTCTTCTGTGGAAAGAACTCCATGAGAAAAACAGTCAAAGGAAACTCACTCATGAGTAGCATAGTAGAGACTTCTGAAATCTGGAATTAGAAATGGCTTAGAAGATCATATAACCCAATGAACCTCTGCTACTTGATCAATCATCCCTACCCTCCTCCTGTGGGACTGTGGAAAGCCTCCTACATTTCCCTCTCTGTTTTATTCAATGAACATTAGAAAAACTAAGAACATTAGCAAACTAAGTGTGATGCTATGGGATAAGCACTGGGTGGCAAAGTCATTTGAGCCACGTCAATGTTTCAAACCCACCAGTTGTTCCTCAGAAACCCTATTCAGAGGTACATTGAGTCAGAACTGACTCTTAACAACAACAATAACAACTATGTGTGTAGGATCCCTGCTGGTGCTGGAGGATAAGTACTGAACTTCTAACCACCAGTTTGGTGGTTCAAATCTACCAGTCATTTCATGGGAAAAAGATGAGGCTTTCTTCTGTAAAGCTTTGCAGCCTTAGAAACCCTTTCTAGAGTCTCTATGACTCAGTAACACCCTGTGACATACAAATGATACAACCTTCTTTCTGAAAGTGAAGAAAACTTAAAATACTGATGAAGAGAAGAGACCACAGCCTTCAGCACAGGTTGCACTTCAATGTAAAGAAAAGAAAAATTCTCACCATTGGACCAATATAAAACAAAAAATGGAGAAACATTTGAAGCTGTCAAAGATTTCCTTTTGTTTGAATCAATCATTAACACTCATAGAAGCCGCAATCAAAAATTAAATTACATAGTGCATTAGGTGAATCTGCAGTGCAAGACCTCTTTAAAGTGCTGGAGAGCAAAGATGCCAGTTTGAGGATTAAGGAGTACCTGACCCAAGCCATGGTATTTTCAATAACCTCATATGCATGCAGAAGTTGAGAAATGAATAAAGAAGACAGTAGAAAACTTGGTTCATTTGAGTTATTGTGTAGAAGGATAATAATAAAAGTACCATGGGCTTCCAAAAGAACAAACCAATCTGTATTGGAAGAAGTATGTCCATAAAGTTTTTAGAAGCCAGGATAGAGAAACTTGATCTCTCATACATAGGACATAATATCAAAAGGGACCAGTCTCTGGAGAACATCATGTTAATTAAAGTGGAGGATCAGCAAAAGGAGGGAGACTCTTAACAAGATGGATGCCACAGCGGCAGCAGCAATGAGCTCAAATGTGGCAACACCTGTGTGGTTGGCACAGGACTGGGCAGTTTCCTTCTGTTATACACAGAGTCGCTATGAGTCGGAGTTAATTCCATGGCACCGAACATCAACAACAAGGAGTTATAATCCACTCAGTGACAGTATGTCTGGTTTTTGGACTATGTGCTTGCATATGGTATGACTGTTACAAAGATGACTCCTGCTTAGTGACACCCACTGCACACCAGGCCAGGTGCTAAGCAGCTATATCCATTATCTACTCAGTCTTCACAATACCCGATAAGGCTTTAGAGATGAGGACACCAAGCGTCTGAGAAATTTTCAAGAGCACAGACCTCCTACATGGTCCTCAGGACTCAAACCTAAGTCTCTCTAATTCAAACGACTATAGTCTCTCCATTACATTACACTGTATCTCTCTTTGAATCCTCACATTGCCAAGAAGCAATAATGCAGAAATGGATTTAGAAGAGTTCAATTGGTGTTAGAAAATACTCCCTCCTAAATTAGCATGAGCCAAAAAATGACAACCCTGTTCTCTGTATCAAAGAACCAAGGTCATTTCTATTCTAATAAAAGAACAATTGTTGTTGTTGTTGTTAAGTACCGTGAAGTCAGTTCTGACTCATAGTGACCCTACACAGGGTTTCTGAACCTGCACAGGGTTTATGGAACCATAAAGCCTCATCATTCTTCCATAAAGCAATTGGTAGTTTCGAACCACTGACCTTGAGTTTAGCTGCCCTATTCGTAACCACAATGCTAGATGAACATTTAGTAAGTGAAAAAACATAATTCCCACTTGTTGCTATTGTTGTTACTTGCCATTCAGTCGGTTCTGACACATAACAATCTTGTATAGGTTTTCCGAGGATCAGCTGGAGGATTTGAACGTCCGACCTTGCAATTCACAGCCCAGTGCTTATATTACAACACCACACCCACTAGAAGTTTGATAAAAAGGAAACCCTCAGTTGATCTGATACAGAAACACCTGAGTCAATTCCTTCAAAGTCTCTGAGCCTGCAAAGACCCCATCACACACTTAGTCAGACCTCATAACCATCAGTGCATTTTGACAAACAGCCATTCTGCCACAATGCAATTGTGAGTGTAGCTGTGAACTATGAGGATTGTTTTAATGTTAATCTATCAGTGTTCAAAGTATGAAAGCTAGTTCTCAAAGTGCTTCCTTTTGGGACCTTCATGCTAATTTCCTCTGGATAGACACATTGCTTTTGTCACCCTTTTTTGAGACTTGTCTTCATGGCCTGTGACCTGTCCTTTCAATTATCCTCACTGAGGGCAAATCTTCATCTTCTGAGGATGTATTTATTTTTGGAACCAGCAAAATGTCATTTGGAACCACACCAAGTGAGTAAGTAAAATCATCAACCTGAGTAATACCTTTAATGAGTCTGAAACAAGGTAAGACAGTAAAACCATAATGCATGATTTCTTGGGTGAATTTAAAACCCATTTCCAAGGAGGAGCTCCAGGCATGCTTTGATGGAGGACAGCAGCATTGGAATCAGTGTATGTCAAATGCTTTGAAGGCACTGACACCCTACAATCACATTCACAATCCACAACTCTCTGCCACTTATGCTTGAATCTCTGCTTTAAATTGAACTCAACATTGGTGAGATGGGGGTGGATGTATTGGTTTAAAATCAGTACCAAACTGATTTTAGCCCAATTGGATAGATGAAACATTATAAAGAGCTGGATTCATTGAACTTTCATCTCATTACCACCTGTCCTCACAACTTCTAAGTCTTCAGAAGAGAAAAATCTAGACGATGGCATTTTTAAAGATTAAGAAAGGAATGCTGTAGTTTAGACTGGCAAATAGATCCATAGAATCTCATGGCCATCATTGTACCCCAGACAGAGCAGAATAGGTCTTGTACCTTCAAAACTAGAGGGTAGGTTTAGAAAGCATGACTGTTCCCAAATCTTAAGCAGAAGTAACCATGGCTACTACATGACCATTATACAACAATGGTTGACAAGACTGGGGTTTATCAAGAAAGGTGTTAAGTTTCAGTTCATTTTCCAGGAATTCTAAGGAAGGTAATTGCTATTTATTTATTTCACGTACCAAGTACTGTGAATAATCTTGACATTTACATAAGGCATAATATTGTATCTGACCAACAACCCTTCAATAAAAATAATGGGTAAACCAAATCTTAACAAACAGAAAGGTTTTGCAACTAACTGTCCAATGTAATGGAGGTAGATGTCATGGTTTCACTCTGGTGTCAAGATGTGAGCAAGTTGAAATTGAGGTTTAAGAATACTATCTATTTTCAAAATCAAGTCTATTTCCATGGGAGAGATCATTCACAAAGTCACCAGTGGTATGTAACCATGAAGTAGTATCAGGCAGATCTTCTGAGTCCATGTGCCAACTGCAGGACTTTAAAAGCATTAGAAGGCTTCCTTCATCATTCCCAAAGCCATCTCCCATGCTGGCCAAGTACTAAAGCCTTACATTATTACCATGTGAAATATGAAATGTTTCCATTTAGAAACAGTACAACACTTTTGGCTACTTACAAATCAATCTTTAATGTGTAAAAAAGGCCAGGAGAGGACACGAGTAATATATTGAGCACACACACCCAAGAGAATTCACTCATATCAAAGAAAAATAAGACATCTCCAGAAGGAAATTACAAATGCAGAAAGTGCTCTGCCCTCTGAGCTAGGCTAGCCATAATTCAAGCTGCCAATAAGAACAGTATACAGTGCTCCCAGAGGGTGTCACAGAAAGATGACAGCTGTCAATCTGTTAATTCCCCAGCCTCATATATTACGAAGGCAAATGATGGATGTAATCCAAGAAATAAGCCAATGGATTTGACTCTGAGAAGAGGGTCAAATAAAGCTTTCAACCAGAGGGACAAACAGGACAGGAACTGTAGAAAAAGAGATACAGACTCTTGAAAACGAGATTTATGGGATAGTTCCACAAACACTCTCCAGATCCACCATTATTTCCCTTACACTCAGTCATGGACTCCCAGTGGTAATGGAGTTTGGGAATCTTAAAACATCTAACCAATCTTTTTTTTTTTTTTTTTTGCTGCATACATTCTAAAATGTTAAGGGAAGAATGTAAAACAACTTTCTGGGAACACTGAATTCAGGAACCACACAGACAAGGAATGAAAACTGTTTATGTGACTGCTCTG